GTATAAATTTAGAATTATTGTAATATGATGTGTTGAGGTCGTTCCATACTTATATTTAGGAGTGGCCAGAAATGACATTTCTATTATGAAACCATGCTGTAATCAAATCAACAGCTTAAAATTTACCAGCATTTTTTTACCTTTACATATTTTAATTTGACATTTTTTTTATTCATGATATGCTGAAAAAGTCATCAGAAAGAAGCAAGCCATTTATTATTCTTTCTCTTCATGAAAGAATGCAATTTCCTAATAAATGAGGAATATTTAATTTTAGATGGACAAGGTAACACAATGGGTCAATTATACCAAATTTGAAAGAGTAAAATCTTTCCTCTACTTATAATGAAAATATATTATTCTGGAAAGCAACACACATACACACACACACACACACAATGGACTATCTTCACTTGTAAACTTTCTTTTGAACTAAAGGGACTTTATCTCACAACTGAGATTTGTGGACCAATGTAAATATTCTACAAACATGTACTCCACAGCTTTAAGCTGTGATGTGCTAGAGCAGAGGGCTTACTCACAAAGTCAAGTTAGTTCACCTGAGTTAGATTCTTAGCTCCCCATTTACTAGCTGAGTAATCTCAGGCAAGATATTTAGCTTCTTAGTGCCTCAGCTGAGAACACCATGCAGCAGCTAATAATAATATCTACTTGTGGATTATAGGACTGAATGAGTTAATACACACAAGTTCTTAGAACAGTGACTGGTGCATGATTAATGTTCAGTAGATGTTACTTATTCTAGTATATTATAGAGTTATGAACTATCACTAGTCTTGATAGGATGGAGTATTAGATGCAATTCTAATATTTATATTGGGTTTCATCCACTTTTTACAGAACCTATTGTAGTATGCTTTCTGGTCTGAGAGTTCAAGGAAGCAGAGAGGTATGGCGCCTCCAACTGAAATTGACCCCTGCATATAGTGTCTGAAATTCAGAGGAAGCTTGCCAGTGTGAGCAGACACAAGACTAGACTAATGTGACTTCTCACTTCTCTTTTTTTTTTTTTATCTCCAGGAAATAAATAGAGGGTTCGAATGTAGACCCTTAATTGTTCCTGCTCAATTTAAGGTTTAAAACCTTGGTTTGCCGTAGGATAAACTTAGGTTTTTGATAGTCATCCAAAACCTTTGTATCTCTTCAGTTTCACTGCAGACTAAAAACTAAATTTATCACAGTGGATTGGCATGATTAAATCTGATATTATTTCTCCCAAGAGGCCATCTGCTTTGGGGGAAGGTAACAGGGTGCAGTCCATTCATATATCTAACTGATGGTGTAGTGATGTACAATCCCTTGTTGACCCCTGTAATTCAGAGTTATTGTGTTGGAACATAAGATTTGATTATCTCATTTCACTGCATAACTACGAATGTTAGGATAGGCTGTGAAAGTATCAGTCCATTGTTTAATCCAGCTTCCAGACATTGCTTCTGATGGCCTGAAGTTCATTTGTACAATTAGTCTACTTGCCATGAAAGCTCAATTACTAAAATTAGAGGGGAAGGGATGGATTTTTCTGGTTCCAACTCCAAAATATCCCACCAGAACAGGTGTACTTGCAAAGTAAAGTTTGCCTTAAGTGTTTCTCTGTCTAAAGTTGTACAATCGACCCGCGAGGGTGGCGCCCTCTCAACCTGCTTACCGGGTCGTGCGCGTGTCTGTGGGTATCGGGGTACGCGCAGACACACAGGGACCCACTTTCCTAGGGCAGCCCAATCAAAGTCACGCTCTCACCTCAAAGGCTGTCAACTCTCACGCCCCTCCCTGCGCGCTCAGCCCCCTCCTCACTCTTCCACCCTTCATGCACCGCCTCCAAAGTCGGACTCACTACTTTCATTGGTAGATACTCCTCTCACTCCTATTCCGGAACCAATCACTCGAATTCTAGTGGAGAGCGGTGGAGCCAATGAGAATGCTCATTGCGGCAGCTGCCGGGTCCCGAGTACCCGGAGGCGGTGCCGAGGGCTGGGTGCTGGTGGGGGATTAGTTGCCATTTGGAGTGAGGAGCGGGCAGAGGCGGCGGCGGTGGCGATTGCAGTGGCGCGGGCTCCGCGGAGAACCAGATACTTCAAGGCCCTTACTCCCTACCCGGTTCAGCGGGAGTTCCCGGCGCTCCCTGCAGCTGCCGGGCTCTCCCGCTCACACAGCCCCGCCTGGCTGCGAACGGCCCCCGGGGCTGCGTGATCCGGACGGTTGTCCCTCTCCCCTGTCAGCGCGATGCCCGAGGCGGCGGCGGCTCCAGGCTCCTCGCGGTCCCAGCCGTGACCGCCACACCAAGCCCGGCCGGGCTGTTGGGGCCGTTGGACGTTTGTTTTCGCAGCCTTCCCCTCCCCCTTCGCCAAAGCGGTGGGGGTGCGCGTTGGGAAGGGGGAGCCGAGAGACTCCTCCCCCTCCCCAATACCCCCGCCCCTCCCCCTAACACACTCGCACGCACTGTCGCGCCGGCTCCCACACGCTCGCGCGCCTCTTGCCCTGCGCCTCCGTGTCGGCCGGCGTCGTCCAGGGCCCGCGGAGCCACCATGTCCACTGCCTCCTCCTCCTCCAGTTCCTCCCAGACCCCTCATCCCCCGCCGCAGAGGATGCGGCGCAGCGCCGCGGGCTCTCCGCCCGCCGCCCCCGCTGCTGGGAGTGGGAACGGTGCGGGCGGCGTGGGCTGCACCCCGGCTGCGGGAGCCGGCCGGCTGCTGCAGCCCATCCGCGCCACGGTGCCCTACCAGCTCCTGCGGGGCAGCCAGCACAGTCCCACGCGCCCACCCGCCGCCGCCGCCGCT